ACAAAATTTTTATTTCTTAGAAAAGTTGTAAATATTTTGTCTGCGAAATTTTTAGTCACGATTGATTGAACTGTGAAGAAGATGCTGCGAAAAATCCGATGACAAATTTGGAAAAGGCTCGTAAAAATGCGATCTGTTATCAGAAAAAAGTTGACATCGTCTAATTGTTCATGCGATGTTTTTCCCTAGCACAATTTTTGTGTACTTTAGTGAAGTGCGTGTGTTGGCGCGGATCATAAGTCGTGTATGTATATTTTTTTAGAAAAAAAGGATGCTCGCGAGCGAGGAAAAGTAGGGTAAGTTATCGTTAAGAAACAAAGATGGTTTTCCTTTGAGATCCCGCTTTTTCAATTCGAGCAATGTAATCGGAGAAACACGAAAATGAAACACTATCAATGGTTCTTAGTATAAAAATAAAATGGTGGCGGAAATTTTGAAACATCGCATGGCGCTTGTGATATTTTGGCCGAAATGTGACGCTACCTGCATAAGTGCATAGGGAAACTCATGGCACAGATGTTGTTTCTAAAATGAGCCAGAAACTGTAGTTCCCTACCGCGAAATGAGGTCCAATTATTCGAATGAATTATTTGAATGATTCTCAGAATTTGATATTTACTGCATGACGTCACGTAAACGTCTGGCCACCGGCTAAAATAAGCGATGCAAGGAAGTGCGCGGTGCTTAAAATATGATAATTTAAGCAAGAGGAATCGATTCCGTTCAATTTTGGATACCTCGCGACCGTAAGTTACTGGAGTCACTTCTCCTGTCCCCGTCTCGCCCGGACCCGTATCCGCGCGGCGCACAGTGGATCCAGTCAATCTGAGAGGTCGGACAAGACATTTTTTACTCAATCTGCAAATTTTTATGTTTATTTTGCCACATTTTAAATTTCTAGGGCTGCTTCTTGAAGACAATGTCACGAGAGAATCAATGAAACCACTTTTAGAACCTCAAAGTTTTGCATGAACGGAGTTAATAGCTTTTGAAATTTTCAAATTTTGTCCGACTTTTCTAATTGACTCTTTCCATTGTGCGGCGCGGCGGCTGCGGGTTCCTGATTTAATCGTCCTTCGATCACGCCACGGACGTCGTTGTCGTCGTCGCACTCCAGTGACGTCGCGTCGCGTCGTAGCCTGACGCTTCTCCTCTCTAACAGTTCTCGATTATCACATCCATCCGTGGAAACCAACCAGATGTAAAGCAAGGAGCAACAACGCTGCGTTGCATGATTTTTTAGATATCGAAGTGGAAAATCATGGAAATCCTGGAAAAATCAGGGAAAAGATCGGTGCTGCCGTGCTGAAGAAAAACGCCGTATGAGCCTTCAGGTGTTGCCAAATTTCCTTTAAAATCATGAATTTACGGGAATATTTATAATAAAAAATGTTCGTTCAATTTTTCGGGGAATTTCCTTCGTAATTTGATCTAAATAGTTTACAAATTTCAAGGAAAAGTATTAATAACTTTTCTCAGAAATGAACATTTTTTCGGAGGAAAGTTGGCAACTCTCGAATATTTACACGGCGTTCTTCCTTAGCACGGCAAAGTAGACAAAGCACGCAAATTAATGCATTCTAATACGTGTTTCCTACTAGAAATGTCGTGCTACTCAAAAAGGTCGAATATTGATATCATCATCAGTTTGCCTTCAATTTCTAGTGTAGGCAACACTGGCTCCCACGTGGTCGAATAGTGGTATCATCGTGAAACGGCTCGCTCACTTGGAACGCGCTCAAAAATAGCTTCTTACCGGACGGGAACTACGGGAAGAGATTACTTTAACGTCACCTCATGTCAGTTTGCCTTCAATTTTTAGTACAGGCAACACGGGCTCCCACGTGGTCGAATAGTGGTATCATCCTGCAATGATTCGCCTACTTGGAACACGCTTAAAAACTGAACTTTCTAAGGATTTGAAGGGGTTAAATAACGCCGTGTCAGGTTGCCTTCAATTTTTAGTATAGGCAACACAGGATCCCAAGTGGTCGAATAGTGGTATCATCATGTAATGGCTCGCCTACACCGAATACGCACCCAAAATGGAACTTCAACGCATGTCATCGTGTATCCATTTATTCATAACGCATTTATAGTATAGCTGTGGATAGCAATGAATTCAGATAGCAAGGAGTGTGTATGATAGAATCTCTTAAGTCAAGTCAAAGTCAGGCGTTTTGTCAGGTATTGAAGAGCGGAGCTATTAGTTCGTAAAATTAGAACGAAGTGTCAATAAAATATTCCTGCCCTTGATTTTTATCCCAGTATATCTCGGTTTTTGTTTCTGTTTTCGAAGTTGGCATTGTTTAAGAAAAATGCCGGAAGTAACCAGGAAAAATCGGATTTTTTTCCCTGCTGCAATCCTGTTTTTTATGGTGTGTGGCATTGTGTCGCTGCAGTACAGCTGCATTGTCTCCGCGCAAATTAAGCAAGCACGTGAATCGGTGGATGTGAAAATCGATCATGTCCATTACCTCGTGGGTCCTAGAATACAGGCATTCCTATGAAGCTCAGGGCTTACGAGCAAACGTAAATATATTTCAACATGGACTGATTCATGCAGGACGCATGCGCGTTGACCAACATTTTGACCCGGTTATCGCGCGCGCTTCGGCGAAAACCGAACGAAGCGGTTTTTTTCTGCAGCAAGTGACTAAAGCAAGTCAGCGCGATTGTAAAATCGCTCATAATGAACTGAAACTGAAGTTGAGGCCGTTAAAAAAGCTAATGAGTATTCTGTATCGGTGATTACGCGATTCCAGACCGCAGTCTGTTATTGAGTTATCAGCGGGTTTTGCGGTAACGCCGTTTGTCGATAACGGTGATTATCGATTCTAACCTCAATGTTAAGCAAGGTCATTGCCCTTCACGCTCGTCCCCGGTGAATTCGCGGGCAATTTGCATACCTTACCCTCGTCCAGATTATCCTAGATACAAATTTTTATAGAGCAGCCCGAGACAATGGTAAGAGTAGAAGAACAAGGGGTAAAACGGAAAACAAGGCTAAAGTACACAATTTTAAAAAAAAAACCGAGAAGTTTCGACCCATTACTGAGTCATTTTCAGTCGGAAATGTTACAATATAATTTAAAAAAAAAAAAAGATCTAACGTTTCCGACTGAAAATGACTCAGTTTTGAGTCGGAACGTCTCGGTTTTTTTCAATTATGCTTTCTTAACCACCCGTCGCATCTTCAATTGTCAAGAAATTCCACCAAAATGTGTCAGGGAAATCAGGAAAATGTCAGGGAATTTCATTTTCTAAATTCTGTGGCAACCCTGAGGGTAGCAGAAAATTTAGCTGCAAGGAGAAGCAAATTCCGCGTTTTTAAGAAATGTTTCAAAAGGCCCTAAAATTTTGTCGCACATCTTCGAAAGTACGTACTTAATATCTTCAAGCTGTAATCTTGGAAAGATCTTTCAAGTATAATTAAAGGCAACACACGAGAGACCCGATAGTTAGTTCATCGTTCACCCCCTTAGTGTATCAGAACCACCCATCTCAACCCATAGGATCGCTCCTTGCGCCTTATGTCTTCTTTGCCTACCGCTTTGTCTATCAATTTTAAACAATGAACCCGCTGGTCTCCGACGGGAGTTGGACTTTTTTAACAATTGAGGCGCGTCGATGGCGGTGCTGATTTTCTCGCTGGCGAGTGCATTCTCTGCATTGCTGCTCGTTGGATAATACGCTGAATTATTTGCACACATTGCACGGCGTCATCTTTCAGCGTGCATCAACTGCATGAATGCGGCGCGGCGTTTGCCAATTGCTTGCATTATTCATTCACCCGTCCAATCCGCCGCTACATCTGGATCCTTCAATACTTTTTGAAGCTCCAAATCCTCCGACACCAAGCTCAGATTTAATTTGAGCTGGTCACCAGGAATCCTGACGGGTCAAGGTCGGAAAAGTCCTCGGGGGATTTTGACCGTGACCGTCGAACGAAGGGTTGCCACGGTCAGAGAATGACGGGAAAACAGGGAAAATTTCTCAGGTCAAGAATGCAAGGGGGTCTACCGCGGTGGATGTCGTCATAAACCGAATTTTTCAAGCGTCAATATTGAACGTAGAACACTGTTTGAAGGATCTTATTATTTTAAGCTGATCTCCAAGAATCAAGCATCAAAACACGATTCTGTGACCTGCGTAACTGACCCATTTGCCGCAATCACACGCTGAATATGGGAGCTGAATGTGGAAGTCATCGGCCCGATTCCTGAATTTTGCGCGTGTAATTCAGCAACGATTCTCGGTGACCATTGGATAATGTCGGATTTGTCTGAACTATTCGAATAGATCTGATACACATCTGGATGAAAATAACTCGAATTTGCGAAATTTCGGCCGTTGACTTCAATAATCAGCCGCCAAATTCAGCGTGCGATTGCGGCAATCGTCGAACCACTTTCCATGATACGGAACTCTTTTTTTCGCTCAAACGGAATTTTGGAAGGCCTTGTCTCCACGAGCCGTTTCACGAGATTTGTCCCAGGGAAAAATCCCTTTTACGAAGTTGGGAAAAATATTGAGTTAATCAATATTTTTCCCAGTACCAAGTATGGTACTTGTACCCCTAGGACCCACTGAGAGAAGAAGAAGAAGTGAAAACGAATTGTGCGATATTTTATTCATTACTACATTGTTAATGTTTGTTTAGTTAAAATAACGTGTCTAATTGTCAATTGAGTGCATTTATTATTATAATCCCGGTTAAATACTCGATTTTAACTACTTTATCTTCCCGCGCAAACTAGTCGCAGGACTGTCTGAGCCCCGTCCCGTGGAGACGGTAACTGGGAAAAATCCCAGAATTTTCATTCCTGCGATTCAAACTTGGGACAAATCCCATGAAAACGTCCCGTGGAGACAAGGCCGAAGAGAGCGATTTTACCCGATTTGAAAGTTTTGAGTGATTCCTCGTTGCATTGTTTTTATGGCGCGATTTATTGTTTGGACGAAATTTCTTGACAGTTTGGTTTGTTTTTGTGTTGCAGGACAAAATGGCTCCCAACATCACAAGCGCTCCGACAGGGGTCCTGTTCGAGAACGACCCGGACCTCGGGGACGACAGCAGCTTCCAGCCGGAGCAAGTGAAGACCCAAACCTCCTCCAGCTCCAAGGAGGACACTTACAGACTCCGCATCGTCTGGAGGAACGTTATCCTCTTCGTCTACCTCCACATGGCCGCCCTCTACGGCGCCTGGCTCATGCTCACATCCGCCAAAATCCAGACCTCCATCTGGGGTAAGCCTCTCCGCCGAAGTACCACCATCAGGAGAAATAAATCAGTGAGAACGAAAACACACCAACTCGAAAAAATGAAAATAATTAAGACACACTCAAAACTGCACAGAAGCTGAAGAAGTTAGTCCAAGAAAAAGATTTTTGCTGCCAAAAGGCACATACCTAAGGGCACTTTAAAGGTACAGGTTGGAGCAGATACGCCAACTCCAATGACCTTTTATGAAAATTAACTGTCTCAAATGATAATTGAGCATTTTCAAGTTACCGAGTTGGTGTGTTTTCGTTCTCACTGATTCAAATTTACACTGGAAAAAAGTCTCGTGGGTCCAGAGTCCAGATTCTCAAAAAAATTGGCAAGAAAAAAAAACTCTTGACTCAATAGAATATTTGTTTGAATCGAGCCTCTTAAAAGCAGAGTTCCTTTTGATTCAAGCAAAAATTCGATTGAGTCAAGAGTAATTTTTCTTGTCGATTTTTTTAAGAGTCTGAACTGTAATACCAAGAGACTTTTTTTTCCAGTGTACAAATATCGCTCCTTAAAAACTCGAGTGTTGTCATGCAGGGTTCCCGGTGGCATAGAAAACCAGGAAAATTCAAGGAAGTCGTAGGAAAAGCCAGGGAATTTCTGACACATGTATTAATCACTAAAACATATCGACGCTGAAACTACCAGACCACGTATTTCGTTTGAGGTGTTCAAAATCTCCGTTCTCATTTCGTTTTCATGATGGAGAACAAATCTATCTAATTTCTTGACATTTTCAGCAAGTTTTCTATGCATTTCTTCAAAAATTTGGGTATTTTTTTTTAATTTTTCAATTGAAGTCTCTTGATTCCCAAATAATTATTCAAAATTATATAAAAGTTACTGCATATTAATTACTTTTGATAAAAAGCTAGTCAGGAAATTTTATTCAATATAAATTTTTTTTCGGGGTGGGGGGGGGGAGCAAGAGGAAAATTTGTTGAAATAATCTACCCTTCTTAATCATAAACTTGTTTCCGCATTATATCTTATCAAATTCTCATTGATTTTCCTAAAAGGAAGAAAATATTAACATGTTGGTACCCATTCTATTCATTTCTTATTCAATTGTAGTGGATTGTGATCCTATAGTTTATCCCAAAAGAAACTTTCACTAGCTGGTACATTCAATTTTATGTAACCTCATCTTCGTATGTTTTGACTCTGTTTTAAATTTTACCTACTTTTATAAGACAGATTCCAAATATGAGGCTTAATAAATTATGTTTTTCTTTTCAGCCTACTTATTATATCAAGCATCTGGACTAGGAATCACTGCTGGAGCGCACAGACTGTGGGCACATCGCTCTTACAAAGCCAAGTGGCCACTGAGAGTTCTGCTCGTGATTTTCAACACCATAGCCTTTGAAGTAAGCTTTTTTTCATAAACTTTAAACTTGAAAATCTCTCAGTTTTTGCTGCAAGTATATCAGTCTCATGCTGTCATGGGTACTGTAAAGAGAGTTTTGAATAAATCAAGAGCAGAGAACAGAATCTTATAAAATTGTAACTTTGAGAAGATATCTAAATCCTTGTAGAAATGGTCTCTCGTTAACTTTGCAATCATCTCTCTCCAAGATGAGAGAAAAAAACAATTTTTTCCTCTTTAACTTTGATAAGAGTAAATTATTTCCAAGAGCATTGAGAGTCATTGAAGTATTACGCCAATCATTTAAGTTGAACTTACGTCATGAATTGATAACTGAATCACAAGAACGTGACCATTCTTCCCACGTTTTTGGCTTAGTTACCCTCTTGAGATCATACTTTCACACGATTTCTAAAGTCGATGCTCTGTCAACTGCCACCTTTTCAGTAGATAAATTTCAAAATATTTTTAATAAAAAATCTCAGCGTAGACCGTTGCTGGATTTCATTTTCGAATGAGAGTTGAATACAGTATTTAAAGGGCTCCCATGGTATTTAGTATTTCTACACTGAAATTAGCCTGATGATTTCTGGGAGAATAGGGGGCAATGGCGATCGGGCGTTGCAGAGCGCGAGGATGCGCTGTGAAAGCGGCTTAATGTATGTGTACGTACAATGAAATTAGCAAGATTTTGGTCACTACATAAAACTAGTTCTCTAATCATCGATAGACATATGCTCTTTAAATGCGGGTTACCCACCACGAACAAACAATCGAATTTTTTTTTTGCAGAATCATGTGTATGAATGGGCGCGAGATCATAGAGTCCATCACAAGTACAGTGAGACAAACGCAGACCCTCACAACGCAAAGCGAGGTTTCTTCTTCTCTCACGTTGGCTGGCTGCTCTGCCGTAAACACCCCGATGTCATCGAAAAAGGAAAGGGAATCGACCTAAAAGACCTAGAGGAAGACAAGCTGCTCATGTTCCAGAAAAAGTAAGTTAACTCGAGGTCAATGTTTCATCGCTTGGATCATGAAGGATCCTTTGTCTGGGGATTTGTGACGGCCGAATAAATTCAGAGAATTCGTGGGAAGTCAGGGAATTTCTGACACATCTACTAATCACCAAAGCATATCTCTGCTTTTCAACGGTCTACCCTTTCTGATCACTTTTAAGGATTGTCATTTTTTAAAGAACTACTGAATACCTTTTTCATAATTTGATTGCCAAACAAGAAAGTTATGTCCAGAATTCAGCAAAAGTCAGCACATGTTTTAAAAGAAGTGGAAAATTTGAGCAAAGGTCAGGGAATTAAAACATTTTGGAGTCAGGGAAAGGCAAAAATAGTCACGGAAAAATCAGGGAAGGTAAGAGAATTTGAAGATGAAGAAATTATGGCAATCTCGCTCGTGATCCAAACATATTTTTCAAACTCAGTTCTGACCCCAGGCATTCCCCTATTTACACAATTTCTGTAGCATTCGGTGGCAGAAGTATAATTTTATGGCCACCAATTTCAGATATGAGAGGAAATTTTATGGAAATTCTCTGCCTTGAAATTTAATCTAGTTTCTTTGGAACTAAATTTCAGTATTTTTCTGTTCGGTGTGGAGGCTTGTGAAAGTCGTAGAAAGTTTCCAGCTTAGAAAAATTTACCATTTAGCAAATTTGAGTGTCCGGATTATTTAACTAATAGAATCCTTTTTTTTCCAGATACTACATGCTGCTGATGCCTTTCTTCTGTTTTGTTTTCCCAACCGTTATTCCTGTTTACTGCTGGGGAGAGACCTGGACCAACTCATGGTTCGTCGCTACCATGTTCAGATACACCTTCACGCTTAACATGACATGGCTTGTCAACAGCGCTGCTCACATGTGGGGACAGCGACCTTATGATAAGTAAGTTTAGTTCTCTTTCTTTCGCTAGGTAGCAAACGGGTGTCCCCTTGGTTTTTGGTCAGCTACAAGAACAGTTTTGTCAAAAAGAAGTAATATTGTAAGGACTTTTGCTGATGACTATCTCAGGTTTTTGGAGCCAGCAAAAATGAGCTGTTGCCATGAACATAAGTTTCGCATGCCAAAATGGCATTTGGGAAAAAATGCTTCGACTTGGAGCTGATGCAGTTCCAATATGTATAAACAGACATTTTGGAAAACAAGAGCCCTATAAGAACTGGCATTTTAGAACCAGAGCTGCTGTAAACTTACCAACAAGGATTCATTTGAACTATTTAAGCTCAGGAACTATTTATCTCGATCTGTATCTTCTTGATTGATCAAAGACTTCTTGTCATACATTGTTTTTTGTAAATTTGAAAACTAATAAACATAATTTTTTAAAAAATACATTTTTTTAATAAATTATGTTAAGAAGATTGTATCGTAAGAATTATTTTTTTTAAAAAAAAATTATCACTGTTTTTCAAGCAGTAAATTTTTTTTTTACCTCTAAAGAAAATCGCGTACATTTTGAAACTCCGTAATGGAGACGCATGATATTTGAGCTAAGCCATGGACATCAATCTCTCTTTGTTCAGAAAAAATAAATGTAGTTCTTTAAGCATTACCAGATGATTTTGCATTTCAACATTTTAAACGACACTTTTTCAATGAAAACTGAATTTATATGGTTTCCCCTGGTTTTGTGCAGTCTTGAAAAGTCCTCAAGTGAGGAGTAAAGGTGCAATGGAAATAAATGTTGAACAAATTTTTCTGGTGTTACATACAGCTTTCAAGGCTTATTTTACGCTTAACATCTAGTAAAGATAGGACACTGACCAGTATTTTTTTACACTCGATGTATCATGTCTAAAATGTTTTCTAAACAATCAAACATTTTCACTTTTCAGATTCATAAACCCATCAGAGAACCTTGGTGTGGCTGTTATGGCTCTCGGTGAAGGGTGGCATAACTACCACCACGTCTTCCCATGGGACTACAAAACAGCCGAACTAGGAAACTACCGTGCCAATTTAACAACCGGCTTCATTGACTTCTTCTCCAAAATCGGATGGGCCTACGATCTGAAAACTGTTCCTCTGAGCATGGTAAAGAAGCGAGCAGCAAGAACTGGAGACGGCACCTACGAAAACCACAGTCACGAAGGTGAAGTCTGGGGCTGGGGAGACAAAGACATGTCGCAAGAAGATCGGGAGCAGGCGACAGTGATAGGCCGCAAGGACGAATAAAATGAGCTTTAGACTGGTGCTGACATTTTTATGAACTCAAACACAAGTTGCTGAACAATCCAGGCGGTTGACACTTGCCAGATACCACTATCGGTATTCTCCAAAGTGTCCCCAAAACAACCTGCATCCACTTTCTCTCCTGTGTTTAGTTCTCTAGAAAAGTGATTTTTATTTTTGTATACTTCAACTTTTTGAGATCTTTTTTTCATTCTTGTCTTGTCTAAATTAGTGATTGCTAAGATTTGTTCCTAAGTTTTAAATTTTCAATGTGTAAATTTCACTATAGCCTCCGAGTGGCTGGCAACCGTAGTGATTAAATTCAAGAACCCTTGCGACTTATTTTTTTATGCAGAGCATATAAAGACAAAAAATTCAAAATTCATTCAAATTGTTAACGTATCAGCTATGTTTAAATTTTAGTCTGGCAACATAACCTTCTATCAACACATTTTCAACGGCCCCAAAGTCCCGATATTCTCGGAAAAATCCTCAGCCTGAGACAGGATCGCAGGCTAAGTACTATAGCGTCAGATCTGTAACTGTAGGGTATCCAAAGTATATTGTAAGTACTCGGCTTTTAAAGTCGCTGTGAACAAAAGTACTGCATTTACTTTATTGTCGTAACTTATTAATTTATTTATTTCCATGTTTTGTAATTATCTGCAGCTGTATAGTATCTTAACAACCTACCTTTTTGAAAGATATTCTTGTGTACATACTTGCCCTTGTTAAAGTAGTCAGTCTTACTTCATCTGTGGCAAACGTCTGATAGGTTTTTGTGAATGCAGTTTGTGGGTGTTGTTGTTTTTTTTTCTGTACATTAGTGTGAGTGTTTTTGATGACAGATGTATGTGCTTCCCTTTGAGGAAAAAGCGCTGAACAAAACTTTACCATTAAATTGTCTTTTTATTTTTATAAAGGATTTATTTTAAGAATTCGAATTTACTAGACTTCCCCTACGAATGACTGGTCGACGAATGAAAGGAATTATTAACACTGATTTTTATTTCTAAATTACTGTGAAAAGAATTTAAAAAGTTTTTTTTGAAGGAAAGAAAGGAAATAACCAAGTAAAAACTAAATGTGACCAGAGGAAAGGGATACATGAATTCCTGGTTTTCTTTTATACGTATGAATGATTTGTCCTTCTTTGCCGCATTATTGTTGCATTATGCAGAATATTTTTCAGTTTTAGAATGGCATGGATAATTGTAGGAGCCATATTCATTCAAGGTTACGAACTATCGTAAGAATTTACTGTGCCTGCCATGTGTTAGAATACGGAAGAAAAGGTTTGCTTCAAACTTCTTTAAATTTTTTCCTCAACTTTCTAGTTTTCTGAATATTTTTTCCAGCAAACCTCTCTTTTTTCTACACCTGCAGTTGTCCTTCGAAACCTTGTAAGAAGAATCATTTGTTATTCACTGTAAATAAGTTGCGTCTTTTCTTTGTTAAAAGACTCAATTGTTAATTTTATTGTTATCTTCATTCAAGGTTATTTAGTTTTTACTTAACTTAGGACGCCCATCTGATACGGTGTGACCAATTGTCTTTAAGCCATTAACAGTATGAGTTCGATTCCCATATGTCAAATCAGTGTTACTGTGTACCGGTGTAGAACATATTGGAAAGAGGAAGAGTCGTAATTTTCTTCTGACCTGAAGTGATTATTTTCCTTTTTTTCTTCTTTTTACTAACTTAATTCAATTTCAAAACTATTGAAATTATATAATTAGGAACTGCGCCCTTAACTTTTTAAAAATACATTTTCTTTTCAACAGATTACAATTTTGATTTTTAATTCTTCTTGCCGGCTATACTCATTCCTTTCCAATCAGTTCTAATGAGCTTTAAAATTAGTTTGCTTAATTATACCCTTATGAGCTTCTGCTTAAGTTTGCTGTAGTTCAAACTTAGTAAAAATTTTTAGTTTCTTTTTGTCAACCAATGCTCCTTGCTCAAAAATCTTGTAATTTTATTTTTGTCTTAAGATCTATCATCAATAACATTCCGTTGTAGTGTACAACCCGATTCGCCAAGCCGAGGAATGTGTTATGTCATTTATCAATTTCTCTAACAGTAAATTGTTACTCTTAAGGCGCTTTTTTTCTACTTTAAAGAACGTGTTTAAATTTATGTTCCTTGTTATCTATTTGTAATTGCAAAATTTTTGTCATGAAATTTCAATTTCCTAGTTTTTAATCTTAAATTCTCTCGCTTGTAAAAGACTTAATTTTTTACCAAGTTTGAAATAGCATTTAATGCCGGTGCTCAGTGTATTATTACGGTGTTCAGAACACCAAGTTATTAATTATATCCATTTGACAAGAGATGTGACGTATGAAACATCATCTAAAACTGAAAACTCTTTTCGTTTCATTCAGGATATATCTGAAAAAACTTTCGTATCAACCCTTTCTTCAGCCAAGCTCTCATTTGATGCAAGAATTTGTAAAATTCTGTTTACTTACCTACTTACGAAATCATCACTTTCAGTCTTTAACATATCTTTTAAAAGTTCACAATCGTTCAAGCGAACAAATTATTTGCGTGATAGGTAATCCTGTCTCTTTCAATAGTGTTGAGTTAAATAACTGAGGCTAAATTACATATGCGTGATGCAGTACTTTTCTGTTGTTGGAGTTTCGTTCCAAACTCATTGGAAAAACAAGAATAACTGAATTGTCAAACTTCATAGCACAGTCTGACTATTTGAATTTTGTGCGCACTTTAACTCCGAGCCCACAGTTTCTTTTCAAAATGTTCTTTTAGCTTTTCGTAACTGGAGGAAACAGAATATTAAAAATTTGTATAGTATACTTTATTTTTCTAATCATTCCTGTTTTCTTCAATTAATTTCAAAAGAAAAAAAAGCTACTAAGTATCATATTTTAGTCAGAGCCAATTTCTGCATATCCTTAGAGTTTTTTTTACAAGAAAAATATAGTTCTTTCCATCATCAAAAATTTCCATTGTCGAATCAACTGTTTCTTAAATATGATATAATTCTTTTGTAAAGGTGGGCTTTATTTTAGAGACCATAAGGAATATTGCTCTCGCTATGTAAGAGATAATAACATCAAATTTTCACCACACGTGAATACTTTTCCAGACCTGAGCCTATTAAAATAGCATTTCTAACATCCATTGTAGCATAGTACTCAAGCTGAAGGAATGATTTTGCAAAAAAAAGTATGCTTACTTTATATTTTATTTTATTATTTATTTATTTTACACTTTTAATGCTAATGAATGTGATTTAGACAAGTTAGTCCTTATATTTTTAATTGTACATTCGAAATTTATTGTTACGCAGTCACAATTATTTCTTAAGGTGTATTATTTTTAAGTTTAGAAGCAAACTTTTTTTTCTCGGCGGAATGTGATTCCCCTTTCCCCGGTGACATTTACGAAGTGCTGCGGGGAAATAAATTCTGGAGAAGTGTATCTATATTTTATAAGATTTTTGTCTAACTTTACATGTGTTGTGTACATGTGTACTGTCGTTATGTTTATGTACCCTTACTTTCCTTTACTCCTCTTATTCTTCTCATTTTTCTTTTTTTTTTCCAATAAATGAAGCATTTGCTTACATCTTCTGTATAAACTGTTTTTGTCATTTATCTCTTCTGCTAAACGGGGCTTGAAAGTTAAATTTAAGGCCTGTATTTGCGATTAAATTATGAGTACACATTGAAATTTATAGCACCCCAAAAATACATTTTTTCTGTTTTCATTGTTTACTTATAAAACAGGGCAGATCGATTTATTTAATTATTTATTTGTGAAGATTAGTACATTAGCCTGAACAGAAAGGCTCAATACAAGTCACATTAGAAAAAGTTACAAAAAAGAGTAATCTTACAAATATTAAAACTCTTGCAAGCTGTAGAAAGGGTTTTGTAAAAATTGTTCTTTTAATATCTTAATGAACAGAATTGGCGACTCAGCTTTGATAAAGATTTCTTTCAACTCTTTGGGTAACTTGTTGAAAAATCTGACAGCCCTAAACTCAAAGCTATCCCAGTCCCAGCCTGTGTCAACATTTCTCGTAGTTCTCACTAGAATGTTTCTTGTTTCTATTTGATGGCCATTTTTGCTTCTCTCCTTACTAATATATGCCATTTTTCATCTTTCATTTAGCTTTCATCAGTTGAATGCTTGTGAAAAAATTCTGCTTTCAGTGCTCCATGAAGAGTTTTACAAGAATTCAACAAGTCAGAGGTATAATTCTTTTAGCCCTAAAGATAGGAATGGCCTAAAAAACAAGATTTTAAGTTCTCCAAATGTTAAATTCATTTTGGTCAGTGTGGGAGCTCATAACTCACAATAATTTCGAACAAATCTAGCTCGTTAGTACAAATTGTAGCATTTCTAGGTACGTTTTGAGGAAAGTTTTAGCCTTGATACAGGTACTTCTTGATTTACTCCTGAACTTCACTGTTTTTATTATATCGACGCTCTCGAATACTTGTACAAGTTTCATTGGTGAAATCAGTAAAATGCTTACCTTTGTAATTTTGTGACTTTCCATCATATTTCATTTTGTGCAAGGATGATGAATTATCATTTTCGTTAGAAATCTTGTGTAATTTTTCTTTACCAGTCTGTGATTATTTCCCCTAAATTTTTTACAAAAATATGTAGTATAATTCCCTCAAAATAATAAAACTAGAAACTTCAAAACTCTACAATTGAGATAATGCGTCTTTCCACTTGTACTGTGGATTTGCCTTGAGACTTGGAAAAAATTAAATCAAATTGTTGTGCCTGTAACTACTAGAATTTTGACTCTAAAATATGATACCACTATTACGCAACTATGTACTTTACAGCTAAACATCGGAAATTGAACAATGTAAATTTTTCCTCCATAATACTTGAAATTGCTCCTGATATTAGAATACACTGTCGTCCTGAGGAAAATAGAATACCAACACAGGATGCTGACAAATTTCTGCTAATAAAATATCTATCAGTTTTCTTGGAAATCTGTAAATTTCATATGCTGATTAATCTAGTCTACCTGAAATTTTCAAAGAAAAATATTGAAAAGCCAGTAGACTTTAAGAATAAATTAAGTGGTCATTCAGTGTTTTTCCTTTACATGACAGAACAGCACTCGTCAAGGCACTAGGATTGAAATAAAATCAGTTGGAAATAGTGTGATTTTAAACAAGAAATACATTAGATATATAGTGAACCCAGCACTATTCTACCATCTTTGTTTAGATATATAGATGACTGAAGAATAAATAAGTCAGAGATGTGCTGATCTCCAACTAAACACTTCATTGACCTTTCGATTCACGTGTCTGGTTTATCATCGATCATATTAGAAGTCAAAAGTAGGTTAAGCATCGATGAAGAGAACTCTCTTTGAATTTCACTAGAGGTCGGATGAAAGTCGTCCTGCCATGAACTTTGCCCAAATTTCGAGTTGCTTTCAACTTTTTCTGCTGAATGATAACATAACAAAATAGCATTATTACTTTTCCTACGTTTTTGCTGGTCCACAGTTTATATCGGCGCTTGATTACATGATCCATTGAACGACAGGATAAAAAAAAAGTGCCTTAATCGACCCAAGTTTAATGACAGGCTTTTAAATTCCATCAATACTCAAGTGTTGCAAGCTATTAAAATAGAAAACATCCAAAATCGCACACAATAATGTAGGTTCTTGAGAACTTAGTAGGTACTTACTCAAGTCAAAGTTTCGTTCAAGAATGAACAGATAAGTGAATTCTTTTACTCTGCGTAGCTGCTTCTCGAGTATCTAAGAATCAATGACTGAATGACTGAAATAATAGTGTACATACTTTCTTTGGAAAATACACGAAAATATTTTGTCTTCATTGCAGCATTTAAAAATGGTTGAATAAGTCTTATTTTTCCAGAGGAAAAAAGTACAATAGTCTCCTTTAAATGTTCTCTAAATATCATCGAATGATGGAAGAAAATGCTGAGAAAATTAATACATTAATATTAACTTGAATGGTCAAAGTAGTCTAGAAATGGTAGTCAGAAGAGTTCTTCAAAATGTTTTATTTTACATTCTGGTATCAAACATATTTACACATCTAATTTTAAAATAATTGTGAAATCTAAAGTTGAGCAAGGTACATAATTTTTATCCAATGAAATACTGAATATTATTACATTTATTGATCAGTGAGCTTTATTTAATAAGTGGAGGGACACAGCTCATCTTGTTCTCGAAAACCAGGAAAACGCCTTCAATCCAACGGTTATGTACGTTGGAACATCTACTGTTGCCTAGCTCAATTATTGAAGGAGTTTTGTCGCTTTTGAAGTGAAAGGAATTATCGACAAGACCGTGGATCGCATGCAACGCAGATTCATTGTAATATGTATTTTCGGAATCAAAAATCGCAACATACTGATAAAATAGCGCTACTCTATCAGTGTCTCATTGTGGCGAAATTATTAATGAAAAAATTGGGATAGGTTGAGGTAAAATCGTAATTAAAGGGAAGACTGAAGAATTCAAGATTCAATCACTTCGGGTAAAATTGCTCAAACATTAATGATATTAGCAAGTTCTTCGGAGTGAAGATATTTTAATTTCAATGAATTGCAACTTCTCCAATGGCATAGAGAAAAAAAAGGTGTTTGCATTTCGGGCATCTTAGAATTTTTATGATGACGTAGGTCGGTAGGGCGATCACTTTTATCATCGATTTTCTCGGAAATCGTGTAGTTTAGGGACAAAATGCATTCTACCTAAAGTGTTTTAAATTACATCATGAGTTGATTTAAGAAAAAAAACGGGCGTTATGGTCCTTTTTTCATACTTCGAATTCCGGATTTTACTGATCAGGTTGTACCGACCTACATCTCTCGTCACAGGGTACACAATCCTCAAGATGCACACAATCCTCAAGATGCAAACACCTCCCTTTTTTTCTCTATGCTAAATAGTAAATGTTTCCTTACATATGATCGTATTTATGCTAAAAGGAACTATGTACATAGGGTTTGCGTGCAACATAGTTCCTTTTAACATAAACACGTCCATATGAGTCTATCGCAAACGTTCAATGGAGTAAAAATTAAAGATTTGCTCTTTACGGACTTAGGTCCAAAAATCACGATGAACACATCAGGAAAGTCTAAATTTCAATCCTGACTTCACAATTTTCGTGAAAAGAATTGCGCATTTTACAGCCGTATATTACCAAGCATGTATACTGAGGCAAAAGCATAATTGGACGTATAGTATCTCCGCCAAACGGAACTATGTGCATTGAGACATGAGCCCTGAGACCCATGAGAATTCATGCATAACAGGGCTCACGTCATAATGCACATAGTTCCGTTTGGCAGAAATACGTCCAACTCGTCACGGACGAGCCACCTGTCTTTGCCGTAATGTAATTTTAAAAGCAGGAAACTTAAAAGGGCGCAAATTTTTCCACGGAGATTAAGTTCAGCTAGGTTGAGTCAAGTTTAGTTAATGTGTAAAAAAAAAAATAAAAAATAAAATAAAGTTAAAATAGGAAAACATTTTATTATTCAAGTGATTTTGCACGACTGGCTTTTTTCATATTATTCCACTTATGTAATATAGTTGATTTATAAAGATTTAGTTATGAGAGATTGGCAATTCCCTGGCGGGTTGGGGGAGGACCGAATTTTGTGGCGGTTAGGCGTTGCGGAACGCTAGAAAGCGCCAAGCGACTCTTATGAATGTATTTGTAAATACTATATATTGATTATCGGATTAATAATCAAAATAGGTATTTTCCCCTATCAAGTGTGCTGTAGGTAAGGCATTTTGGCCCACCAGGCTTCGCCAAAAACCTAGTAATTTAATTTCTTATCAGAGAGCCTCTGTGCGGATTTTTTTTTTTTGAAAATTTCAGGGAATTGGCTTCATGTCACGCAGAGAATTCACTAAAATGTGCCCAAAAATCCGCACAACCGGTTTCATGTAAAGAATTAAATTGCCCAATTAAACTTACTTAGCAGTGGCTGATGTGGCTTAGTTCCTTTTTGCTTAACGCGGTCCAAATGTAGTCCGTTTATCTCGAGGCATAGCTCTTCTCCCCACGTTTGGAAGAGACGAGTCGCGTTGTTTCTTTGGTCCACTGGAAAAAAAAACTCCGACCGTGAAAGCCGCACTTACGAGCTATTAGACATATCGTCCGCGTTCCGGGCACAGAGGCCGAAAGTTCCGGGCGCAGAATCCGGAGCAATTAAAACTACGGCTCCAGCACCTGGAACTATCGGTCACTGAGCCCGGAACGGACGGTACGTCTATATAGCCCGTAACTTTTTTTTTTTTTTTTTTCAGTGTCGGGGGTCAGAAAGGGGTCTCTCAAACTGGGTCGTCTTCCGCGGCGGCCGGGACGAAGTGGGGTCCTGTGAGGACGTCCTGGGACATCTGGAGGCACTCGAGAAGGGGTTTCCCGGTCTTGGCCGTCTGCCCGAGGGCGGAGCGGACCCCTCGGGAGTCGATGGTCTTGAGCCGGTCGGCGAGGCCCAGGACGGTGAAGATCCGGATGAAGGCGGTCGTGCAGCCGGCGCCGTAGGTCCCGTACTCGCCAGACTGGTAGTCCCACGGCAGGAGGTAGTGGTACTGCGGCCACAGGCTCTTGTTCACCAGGAACACCAGGTTCGTGTCCGCTGAACGCCTGTCGAGAGATACGGAACAATTAAAACCACCAGCATAGAATAAGTACACTACGCCAACAGAAGCGAAAGCCATCGTCATGTATATGTCATCGAAGCGAAACTTTTTGCGCGGAAAAACCGTCACTCGTTTGATCTTACAAATCACCATATTGAATGAATTAAACCACATTTTTCACTTTTGCATCATGTGCTAAACTGCATGCAGTTAAAAACGCTTGACGTGCTCTGAATTTTTTGATCCGATATTAATTTTCCTGATTTTTCCTGATGACATCAAATTCCCAAACATTTTCCGGTTTTTACTGATGGTAGACACCCTGAAGAATACGATTTCGAGTGTTTTTGACCAGAGTAAAAAGACCCTCCACTGGCCTGTTGGCGACAGGTGGAAGCTTTTACTTTCGGGGATTCAACATTTCCTTATGGACACTTTTTGGGGGGCAACAGTCATCACCCATTTTTCGGCTGCTGACCTACCTACTTGGTGGATTATAAGCTTCGGGTCACGTCATGAGCCAAAACAGTTTGCCAAACTTTGGTTTGTTCGCAAAACGGAACTCCCAACACGTTGTTAACCATCGATCAAGTAGGTAGGTCAACAGTTGAATATTGAAGTCCCAAAAGTAAAAGCTTTCACCATTGCCAAGATACCAGTGGAGGGTCTACTGTCTCTGCAAGAGACCCTCCATTTCATGCAGAAACAGTTTCACATGAAAATCTGCTTATTAACACGATAGTTCATTCATAGGAATTCAGCGTGCTGCGCCGGCTAATAGAAACGCCTTCAATGAATTGAATAGGCACACCGAGCTCCCAGGAAGTTGAATAGTGGTATCACGCCCCTCAGCGGTAACTTCAGGTTTCGTACTGCAGATCGTGTAGTTTTTAAAGTGTTCTTTTTGGCAGTTGAAAAATTGATTGACTTTATGTGGACGGCAAAGATTTACTTAAATACTAATGTTAACGTCTTGAATTTTTAGATAAATCATACTTAATCTTTGAAGCGAATTAGTAATTATTGGTATAATTAGCTAAATAAGTGCGACTAAACTTTCAGTTACCTAATTACATCTATAGTATAAGAAAAGTTACTGATAACAATTAGGTAATTGATAGAATAAATTTTACTATTTATCTTCCTTAAAACATCTGAACTTCATTTAAAATCAAAATTATCTGCACTGTACCACACAGAAGTCCATGCACACCGCGCGCATTCGAGTCAACGAACGAGAAATCTAAAACGCCTTCAATTTAGACATGATACAACACGCTCATCCATTGAGTAATAATAGTTGTATTCGTGATTTAATGTGAATCTATGGCGAGAGTAAAGAGAAATTAAGATATCGAACAACTGTTGCGTCTCGTTTTAAAGTTTTGGCATTAAACGAATACATTATGTCTTACGGGACATTTGAAGGGATTAGAGAATTCGTACAGTTTTTGAAAAAATAAGACTTGCATAATTTCAACTAGATCTAGTTTTAATATACTTTTTGTGAAAAATTGACGACTAAAATCCAATTTTCAAGCATCAAAATGTGAGTTTGAACTTTTTTACAGCCATAAGGCACCATATAATCTTGAAACTTTAAACGCGTATTTCTCGATATGGCAAAAACTGCACTTACGCGACTTGTCGTCCACGGTCTCATTTCAGCTGTGTATTCCCATGAAATGCCGTTTGTAAAACCTGAATTAGAGCTCAAACTATGCGAATGTGAAAATTCAGTTCATTTGCCTAACCGAATTAATACATCGCGTTCTCATTATTTCAGTTTTTTTTTTCAGGATTCACAAAATACGTCCCTCGGAATGAAGGAGCCAGCAGAAATGAGCTTCTAAGCGTGATGGATCCGCTTTTTCCAAAAATCAAAGCACAACCAGTATTTTAGCAAAATGTATTCGACACCTGGATGTTTGTTACCTCCAAGTTTAGACACCTTAATAATTTCATGTATATTTAAAAAGTGCAAGCTCACTCTACAGCGTGGAGCGCGCGCATGAGTCAACAAACGAGAAAAACTAGAGCGCCTTCAAATCCAACAACATGCAACAAGCATATTCACTGCGCAGTAATGGTTGTATTCGTACTTTAAGGTGGATCTAAGTGATGTTGCGCTGCTAAAAAGGTGAAAATTTGGTAAAAATGAGGGATGACCCGTTTCCCTTCGACTGATTTTTAGACAGCAGCGCAGTCCAACGCCTCTCATTGCGATATTGAACGATAACACGCAAAATATCGGTTAGCGGTGTCGTTTTCATAACACTCGGACGGATTCACTGACCCCTCTCTCGGTTCACCGCGGGGACATCTCGTGGAATAAACTAATTACTGCATTGTCCCTGTCCCTGCCTGCCCGTGATTCTCGTATCACGTGGTTAGCATGTTTTCTCCGTTGTGCACGTGTTTTCTCCATCGTGCACGTGTTTTGTGGTCTAAGTCGCACCTCGGCATTGGCGGACCCAGGAAATTGGTAACATTGTTTTTCTCCATTTAAATCTATGAAAATGAATCGATTCTTGGTGATGAAACGACCAATATTCAGCGGGCCGCACCGAGCCTCTAATATTGACGGAAAACGAGTGCTGGTGACGTAATTTCTGATCTGCGATGATTTGAACCTGCCTCTCTTTAGATACATACTTATAAAGTTTAAAATTTTGTGAACTGTCCGTCGATGAGGGCAAATTCAAAAGGAATTCTCAACGGGCCCAGCTCTACCCTGAACCACCCTCCACTTCCCCTAACACCGCTTATGGCCCCAGCGCCCAACACTTGAAGTATTAGTATTACTACTCAAAGGAGATTTTTTTCGAACATTTCAACACAGAAAACAACTAGCAACTACATGAGAAAGCTGGTCCTGTTCTTTTTATCTCTCTTTAGCTTTTATAGGACATCAGAACGGTGATGAAGATGAAGAAGCTCAAGCATTTGAATCTATAAAATCCCGGATCTTTTATGTTTGACCTTGCCGCGAGCTCAAATCCCTCAGTTTTATGGACGCTTGTTGCGTTATATGCCAGTTAAACTGCTCAATTTAGAGTCCCGGTAATTTATCGAACGATTTCAACCACTTAATTCCGTCGCCATGTCGAGCTTTGAGAATAGAAAGAGAGTAGGAAGTTGTGCCCTCCAAATTTCTCTAGAAATGGAAACGTGGTACATGAGTTATTAGACCAAGTAAAAAACAAAAAACCACATGGCGTCCAGATGAAACGTCCTCGCCAAGACATGACACGATAATGATGGCGATATTTAGATAAAACTATTCGTGTTTGATTGCTATCCGTGTTACATACTGACAAAAATGAAGGAACTTTAACGCGCACGGTTCGTTTCAGAGGGAGGTAAATAAAACAGTGTTGCCCACTCAAAATTCCTTCGGGATCTTGAAGTAGGATGCATACACAGTCATTTAAGCCTAAAATGAAAATATTCTGTCGAGCTCTTCAAAAATAAAATCGATTTTTGTGTTTTTGGCGCTAAAATGGCCTTCAAAAACGATCAATGATTCAATTCCGATGGGTTGTGCATATGCAAAATGGTACATGTATGATGAAATCTACGTATTTTTGGACCAGGAATCGATTGAGCAGGGTCCCGAATCGGTCCGAAGCTTCATTGACCGAAAAATGGGCCTTTTGGGGGATTTTAGGGATGTTTTGGGCCCATTTTTTTCCAATTTTGTCGTGAAAAAATCTGTGCCGTCATGGGTATTGATTATTGGGTAATTTCGGGCGAGAAATCGAATGCGCTTGGTCCCGAGTCAATCCGGGGCTTCCTAATCCAAGAATACGCAGTAGGCCCAGGTGGAGCGCCGGCAGAGCTTTGAAAATATTTTTTGTCTTTTATGTTCAAACTGGATGCTGAAATTGGCCTTTCTTTGACTTTAAAATGTATGAGGAATATTTCTTTTTCATGATACTTGGACAAATTTTCCAAATACATATTTCTCTGATCATGAGATCTAGTTCAATTTCTAGTGCTGCAACGTAACAAATCAATATCAATCACGAGATATCCAAAGGAATACATCCACCAGCGGTCTCAGCGGTATTCCTATCAATAATTTTTATTTCGACCGAGAAAATATGCCGTACACATCAATTTCTCTTTTTCAAAGACCCTCTGACGAGAAATCGTATGCGCTTTATGAAGAGACGGTATAAATTTGGACTCGAAAAATGAACTCCTCTTGTGGATTTATAACATTTATATATGCAGAATAACTATTTTCCCTCCTTTTTCGGTCAAACAAATAATCTTAACCCAACCAAGCCGAGAAAAATTTTTCGGCCTAAGAAGCCCCGGAGTGACTCGGGACCAAGCGCATTCGATTTCTCGCCCGAAATTACCTAATAATCAATACCCATGACGGCACAGGTTTTCTCACGACAAAATTGGAAAAAAATGGGCCCAAAACATCCCTAAAATCCCCAAAAAGGCCCATTTTTCGGTCAATGAAGCTTCGGACCGATTCGGGACCCTGCTCAATCGATTCCTAGTCCAAAAATACGTAGATTTCATCATACATGTACCATTTTGCATATGCACAACCCATCGGAATTGAATCATTGATCGTTTTTGAAGGCCATTTTAGCGCCAAAAACACAAAAATCGATTTTATTTTCGAAGAACTCGACAGAATATTTTCATTTTAGGCTTAAATGACTGTGTATGCATCCTACCTCAAGATCCCGAAGGAATTTTGAGTGGGCAACACTATTTTATTTACCTCCCTCTGAAACGAACCGCGCGCGTTTTTGCGAGTGCGGAACATGCTCTGTATGAGACAAAATTGTTTGGTTCTTCGAAAATATTCGACGGCTCGTAGAAATAAACTATCTGTTGACCGAAGCGAAGTCTGGTTTCGTCAACTGCTGACTTAATTGGTATTTAGAGACATTAATAGAGGTTTTTTTCCGTGAATTGACGGCTGAGCCTCCGATTATTTCCTTTGGCAAAACACGAATTTTCCAAAAAAGTGACCCCCTGAAGCTCTCTATTTTTTTAAAATTTTTATCCGTCATTCGATCTTAAATGTCTGAAAACTTTAAAGAGAAATATTCGTTAATCTTATTGATAATAAATCTTTTATTTGAATCAATAGGAAACATACAATAATGCTCCTACGGCCGTTTTCCTCAGCGTTGCAATGAATTAGATTTGCAATCAGGAACCAAAATGTTTGGCTCAAGTTAGAAACAACGTGTGTACCACTAGTTTCCCTATGCACATAAGTGTTTTTACAGACGAGCCGGAAATTTTAGCTCCCGATTGCAAAATGTAGTTCAATTAAGTTCCCTCTTTTTTTTAGTGTTAAACTGACATCATGAAGTAGTGTTTGACTTAGTGCACTTACTTGTTAAGAGGATCGAGTCCCCAGACTAGGAAGGCCGTGTTGACCATCCAGGCTCCGTGTAAACACAGGGTGACTCGTAAGAAACCCACAACGAAAACGGAGACCAAGATAGACTCGCCCCAATACTCGACCGGTGCGTTGATCGGCAGCAATATGCTGAACAGGGGCATCATGATCCAGTATAATCTAGAAAACATACCGAGAAAATAAATTGTCATTTTGTACGATAATCATATGAAATTGATTACATTCGAAATTGGGAACTAAAATAACTCACTAATGTTAGAAACAACGTGCGTGCCAGTAGCTTCTCATGTATGCATATCGACGGTGTAAGTCGGCAATCACGTAACTTGGTTTGCGATGTTGGTCGCTGACTTCCTGTCATACTTTATTTTTTAAACGGCAAACTGCTCAGCGGCAATTCTTTAAAACTGCCGTGATTTTTCCTCTCCGTGCGAAGAAAATTCTGCAAAAACTTCAAAGAATGATGTCAATTTGTTTTCCTTAAAAAAATAACAGAGGCTCAAATTTTCAGACACCGCAAACGAGATATTTGATTGCCGACTTACACCGTCGATATAGGTGTTTTCATGTTTTAACCAGAGATTGTAGTTTTTATTGAAAAACTCAGTGCAAATATAAGAACGTCTTACAACCTAGTAAGGTTGATTTGGACTTTTTGATTATGCTCAGCGGGTCCCCCGAGATTTTAACGATGGTAAATATCGATGATTGAATATATAAGCGTGAGTGGCCGTTCAAAAATCACGTAACGCTGAAAATCGAATTTTGTTCCACTCCTTTCTCTTTGTAACGTTCCAGTAACACAGGCATACACCTCCTAAAAAATCACGTAACGCTCTATTCGACTTCTTAACCCTTGATTTGGCTTAATGCAATAATTTTTTTTTTTTTTTTTTTTTTTTTTTTTTTTTTTTTTTTTTTTTTTTTTTNTTTTTTTTTTTTTTTTTGGAAAGGAGGAGTATCGATAAGGGTCGATTTTGGACCCACCCTGAATTCCCTCAAATCTATGAAGTTTTGCTCATCTAAGGTCTATATTTTACGAGATACACATCATGATTGGTTCCTCCGGTCTATATCCTGGTCTAATGCTGGGTCTAAAGGCTGGTTTTGGCGCAAAATGTGGGTTTTGCTTGTTTTCAGCTGAATGCCAAAAAATCCACGTTTTTCACCAAATTTGACCTTCAGACCCATGTTTAGGCCAGCATTAGACCTGAATTCATACGAGAAATGACCAGTGGCGTGGTGTGCTGTAGGATATGCTATTGATCTGCCGTTTAAACCTATGAAAAAGGATAACGTAGAGGGTGTTCGCAACGAGCACCTCAATAATCGACTATTTACCACAGCTTCAAATAAGGGGATATCAATAATCGATCATACACGCCTTGCCACTGCAAATTATGATGGATATTGTAAAATATAGACCTCAAAAAATCGGAGAATCAAGGAAATTCAGCAAGGTTGGACCCATACTCATCGATGCTTCTCTCTTTCACAATTAGTCAGTTTTTCATGTTTAATTTTCGAAAAAGCGTTACGCGCTGAGCCTAGTATTACTTAACACAGTCCTCAACTTCTCACTTCCCCCTTTCTCGTAGCGTACTTGTTTCACGAGCTTAGACGCCCCTCCATTTCAGAGTGTCACGTATTTTATGAACGGCCCCCAACGAAATTACAGGCGGTAATCCAGGATTGCGCGAAAGGTCTAAGAAAAATTATGAGAATTGCGCGAATTCAAAATGAAGTTAATTTAAGGTAGAAGTTTGGCAAAACAGGAAACGGTTGGAAAATAAACGCGTATTTTTATGTTAACGCTAGTTTACGTTAGTTCGTTGACACGTCATCGACGTCTTACCTTCTGATGATAAATGAAGTGAAAAGATTGAGTATTGGTCGTGAATATAAAGAACTTTCCTAACTTTTCTGGGAAAAAATATTTAATCAGGAGAAACGAGGCAACGTTGGAATGGTCATACGGCGTTGAAACACAACAGGCCTTTTAAGCGCTGTTATTCGATGTCGCGAATATTTTAACGCGAGTTAGAATAATCGCGCCAAACACAGTGCGGCCGGCATTAAACGTACATTAGCGCCTGCAAGACTTTTGGAATACTTCAAGCATCGCGCCAAACAGTGCGGTCAGAACGACGCGCGTATCAGCGCCTACAAGACTGCATGAATACTTCTCGCATTGCACCAATCGCAGTGCAGTCGGCTATTTGGCGTGAAACGCATATTAGCGCCCACAAGTCCACAAGACTGTAGGTATGCTGTAAGACTGCGTGCCATCATTCTCGACTTACTGTTTCAGTTTTTATCATAATTTAAGGGAAAATGTGTATCCTTATTGTAACAATTCAGAAACTCGGATGATTTTTTTTTTTTTTTTTGTTACATTAAAAGATAATAGAACGAACGAAAATATCGTGCCGAAATTTTTTATACTTTTATTTGAGATCATTTAGGTAAATTCACGGAAATTTAAAAAAAAAACGGTATGTAGCTTTTTAAAATATATATTAAAAATAAAACACGAAAGTCGTGCATAACGTTGCAATCAGAAATAAATATACGCTTTCTTTCGGGTGTAACCGTCGGTTTTTGAATCCATTCACCTCTGAAAAAACTTAAACATGGTTGTTCTACGATTTTTACGTGTAGTTTTTTTCAGTGGTTGGCGGCCGAGTAGCGGCCAAGGCCCGTAGTTCACTTTTTAAACTATGAAAGCTCTCTGGGCCATTCATGCTGCGAGGGCTATCCATCGAAGAGAGACATACCCGTAAGTAGGAGGGAATGAATAGTCTTCCGCGATGTAGTTATCTACCACAAACTACGAAGGTTGCCAGATTAACGCTTCCTCGTTGAATATTGAATATTTACGCAAACATGTGAATTTTCAGTTACGAAAAAATTCACGCAATCCTATGCATCTCCAAAAAGATAACAAAATTAGCATTCGCGCAATCCTATCGCAAGTTTCCTGTCACATTTTTGCTAGTCCAAGAATGACTCTGGTGTCAATAGGAAATTTCGTGTTGTTTCCTTCGCCCTTAGAAGAGCTGTTCCCTAAAAATTCCGTACGAAACTGTCATGTGATATTCGTGTGCAAGATTGAAGTAGGAGCAGGAACTTTGCAACGCCGTAATCAAGCTTTTTGCATTTACACCGACGATATCTCCTGGTTCCATATTCGGTGATTCACTCAGCAGTCCTCGTCACATCTCTTTGGTGATAAAAAAATACTAATCCCTTCCATCAATAATTAGACAGCGTTAAGCTGAAAGGAACCAAGCCACATCAGCTATTGCCAAGTGTAACTGGGCAATTTAATTTTTCACAAAAACGGTTAAGCGGATTTTTGTGCAAATTTTAGTGATTTTTTTGCATAGTACGAAGCGAATTCCTTAAAATTTTCGAAACAATCCGAACAAACATTCTCTCGTAAAAAATTAAATTGCACGGTTAAATTTGGCAATAACTGATGCGGCTTGGTTCCTCTCTGCTTCCAATCCAATTCCTTGTCTCATCTCTTTGGTGTTTTTCATTCTCCTGAATTTTTCGGTATCTAATCATCCATCCGAAGGAATAATTTATTGTTTACTGGTCTTATTTCGTCATTTTTCTGGTCAGTGGATTAAGTCAATATTTCATCTCTTTGAGGACGCACACGGAATACCCTCTTTCCTCCCTGCTCTTAGATTTTTATCAGGCCTTTTTCTCTGGAGAATTAAGGCCACCGTGTCCTTCCAACGTTAAATGGTGGACCCAGGAGGACACGACACTGTAGACTGATTGAAACATACTGTCGAAAAATATTTCATAACACACGCCAAGAGAGCGATTCAAATCAATTTCACGTATTAACTTTTCTATGAATATTTGAATAGTTAATTTCGTTCGAGATCTATGTAATAAATAATTAAGATGACGACGGTGAAACTACCAAACCACGTATCTCGGTTTGCGACGTCGCAGACTTCCTGTCATACTTTATTTTTTAAATGAAAAACTACTTAACATCCAGTCTTGAAAATTTCTGTGATTTTTCCTCTTTGTGCGGAGAAAATTCCGTGAAAATTTCAAGGAATGATATTGATTTGGTCTACTTCAAAAAAATAAAATGTGAGCGTAGATTTTTAAACACCGCAAACGAGATACGTGGTTTGGTAGTTTTACCGTCGATGACCGGAATGTTGCGAATTAATGTCGGAGTGATCAATAGTGTACATACTTTAGACGTCTCCTCATGAAATACATTTTTAAGAAGACGTTTCTTTTAAGTCCTCTAGGGAATTTTTACACTGTCTGGCCTTTCTCAAAGCTTCGTCAAATAATCACTTACATAAGAGTATCTACACGACTTACGTAAGGATGACCAAAGTGTGAAACCAAGTATCTCCGTTTGCGACGTTGCAGACTTCCTGTCATACTTTATTCTTTCTTTGGAAAACTAGTTAACGTTATTTCTTTAAATCTTCCTTGAATTTTCTTCTCTGTCAGAGAAATATTCAGTCAAAATTTCAAGCCGTAAAGTTGGCTCGTTTCTTTTCATAAAAATGTAAAACGAGCGGAAATTTTGAAACACCGCTGTAAAAGATACATGGTTTTGCTCTTTGGCCATCGATAAGTAGTTAGTGGGCTCATGATGATGAGGTGGGAAAAGGGAACCGACCAAAAATGATGAGATGAGTGCAATGAGAAGTCAGAAGGTGGCCCTCTGACCTTCAACTGGCGGCCCGGCAACTGAAGAGCAAGGGAGTATTCGCCGAGCTCACTCAGTAGCGATAGGAGATTTGACTCGTAGGATTTGACAATCAGAGGTCAAACGTTGACGGAAAGGCAAGAGTCAGTTTGTCGATTGACGTAAACCCCGTATAAATTCGACCGCGTTTAGCAGAAGGGAACCAAGCCACATTGACTGACCAAGCCAATTTGACTGAGCAATTTAATTGTTTTCAAGAGAACGTTTGTGCGGATTTTTTTGGAAATTTTAAGGAATTTGCCTCTAACTGTGCAAAATTCACTGAAATTTTCAAAAAAAGCCGAACATCCGTTTTGATGTAAAAAATGTAGACTGTCCAATTAATTATGGCAATAGCTGAAGTAGCTTGATTCCTTTCTGCTTGACGCGGTCTAATTGATCCATCACTATGAGATTCTCTGCTGTTTTTGAATTTGGATAATAATTGCATGACCTTGCTTTCCATTATCAGCTTGTGTAATAGTCTCCCCTGGTGTAAGCGAAAATTCGAGGATGACTTTTGGTTGAAAAAACTTCCCCGCTCCTCCTCCAACCCGCAACGTCCACTTATTGTACATTTTCTTCTGTAAAATTGGCCTTAGTGTACAGAATATATAATTTGAGCTATGAGTGAAAATGACTGACTGAATGTGACTGAAATGCACTTTGAATTTCGATCAGAAGTTCCCAATAAGTGTAGAAGAATGGTCTACGACCATATTGGAACGAAAAACTATAAATAATGTAAGAATAAACATGAGCCGTGGCAGTGTGAAGTTTAAAGTTCCAGTTATATAGATTCGAAAAAAACATCCAGAATTCTAATCTGCTAGATTCAGGGCATGAAACCGCTAAACCGTTCGCAAAGTTGAATTCAAAACACTGGAGAGGGTTTCCCGTTGAAATCTCAAAACACGATTTTTTAGATTCATCGAAACTCTCATAGACTCCTCTGAAAATTGTAATCATATTGTTCTCTTCTGGTAGAATCATTCAACTGTCAGATGAACTGAGATTTTGGTTGAACAACTATTTCACATGAGACAATTACACAACGGTTCGCTTCCATTGGACCGCCGGGCAGGTGTAGAAATGAATCAACAAAATGCATGTGCACTCATCAAATTTTTACGTAAAATTCATAGCATGCATGGTCAACTTTCTAATTTGGCCCATAATTGTAGGGTTTCTTGAGTTCAAGAATTTTAACTTGTTGCTCGTCAAAAATTCGAAAGAAGGTGAAAATTAAATTAAGTTAAAAAATTGTTTCAGCGTGCTTACAATCAAATTATTTCGAACACGCCTTAATTTTTAGAGTTTTCCGAAAGAGCCTCCCGGACCCCCGGAGGTGGAAAAATGCTCCCAGACCTCTCTTGTCCCCGCCGTTCTTTTGCTTGTTAGACCGTCCTTGATGAGGTGACCTTCCCTAGAAAATCTCTAGTTCCACATAATAAGTTCAATTCAACAATTTCCCCTCTGAAAAGAATCCTTACTCTCAACGTGTTTCCTGATGAGAAATTTACTATTTTTAAATTTACATCGTTACGTGATGCTGGATCTTGTCCCCTCCCCTCGCTCCCTCGCCTCTGAATGTAATATTTACTAAGCGTTACGTATTAGTGTTACGTAATAATGAAAGGTCCTCTTCTTTGTTAAATATAAACATGTATTCTACTACAGTGCTTTTTTCCGGCAAGGGTGCGTTATGTGGAGATATCACCAATTACTAAGGTTAAAAGGTCGGTTTCAAATCTGCGAATCCCCACGTGACTCAGTATCGTTGTTGCTCGCTTATTTGATTTACAGGAATCAACAGCCGGTTTAAAAAATGCAAAGGTGGTGATAAAGAATTGATGTAGGTATAGTATATCTATAGAACACGAATAAATTTTAAAAAAATGAAATGGAACAATGATGCACAGTCTCAAAGGTTTTCTGAGTTTATTTTTTATTTTTTATTTTTTTTGTTTGCTTGGTGAAGAGTTGGTTTTTTCAAAGAATTCTAAAAATTGACAGAGGAGGAGGGAATTACTGATACTAATAAAAATAGAAAATGAACGTATTTAACGCTGTTTCGTTGAACATCAATAGCCTATGACGCTGGATGTCTTTACATGAATTAACTAACTAACTAACTGAAGCGAACTGGCAATGGAGAGTATTGTTTTTATCATCAGCATGATCAGCGTCAGTGCTAACGTGATTTATTTCCATTCAGTAATTCATGATTCGCGATCATAAAAAAAATCGCTGTAAATGTTGACCCTCAGTGCAGGTTCGCAATAGCACGTGCTACCGCAAAGGTCGTGTCCCTTACCTAACTTCACCCATGACTAACTGAAATGATATCCGCATGAAATGTCATACGGGAAAGTTCACAGGTGAAGAGAATGCGTGATTTTCCATAACTCGACTATCCATCGTTTACCAGTTTTGTTCGACTAAATTAAATTATTTTCAAACATCTAACAGAATTAACAAAAGAGACTGGGGAAGCCATACTTGGATTTAGTAGAATTTTATTTTAAGACCGGCAAGTCAACTATTCTCTTGGACCGAAAGAAAATGAACATTACATTAAAGGGAATACTGTTAACAAAGTTGTTTGCACCAACTGAATAGAACGCACACAGTTACTTTTTTTATTTCTTTTCAATAAGAAACAAAAATAAATTTTGCAAACTATTGCAATAAACCTGTAATTTTTCTGTCATAGTATTGCAACATTTTAACATTAGGTATTTAGTTAATAAATGCCGACTTTAACCGATAGTATGCGATCAGACAGAATATACTTATTTTGCAAATGCAAAGGGATATTGTAACTTATTTTAATTTTCTTGCAATTAATTTCGAAAAAAAACATAAACCGTAAAATATGTTCCTCGGTGTTTTTCAAAATTACGGCTCGATTTAAGACTTCAAGATTATGAGATATTTTTGGTCAACATCATTGTATAGGGCCACTCACATAGGATACAGAAGAGCGCCTTCAACCCGCCCCGTAATATTAATGCAAAATTCTGATACCACTATTCGTGCGTCATGACAATCATTTTGCATAGCCTGCTATTTGAAGGCAAATTATTGCTCAGGCAACCGGGTACGAATTTCAGCAATGTGATAAATAATTTCAAAGAAGCAAAACTCCCTGGGCCTGCCCCCCTTAGCATGCAAGTAGTCCCACCCGACCACCTACTAGATATTTTTATGAAGAACTAAAAACACACACTGAAATACATTGGAAAATGAAAATTGTGGGGATCAGAGAGTCTTCGGTGGCTAATATTGAGACAATGTACTTTTTCTGAGAGATAACCTCGTTCCGAAATCTCCAAAAAATAAACTAATCGAATATGTGAATAATGTCAGATATCCGCATTGAGTGCAGTATTTTCTGCTAATGGAAGGATATTAAAAGGAAAAAAGTAAAGCCCCAGCTATTCATTTCCTGGGTCGTCTTCTCCCAGCGCGGTGGATGTATGAGCTTCTTCCCTTGATCTTGAAAGGCAAAATGAGATAGCTTGTCAGTTGTCAGAGAGCATATTGCGTTTCATAACATTATGAATAATTTATGGGAGTTGTTTAGTTGTGGGGTAAAATTTGGATGCTCCATGATATAGCTGAATGTGGGTAGTATCGGTCAGGCGAAATAAGCAAATGCCGTTATGATCTGACGTACGCCTTTCAAAGCCGCCTCGAGGAGGAAACGTCTGCCGGCATGAAGAAAACCGCCGTATGGACATTCAAAATGGTCAAATTTCTTCCGAGAGAAATATATATTTTCTAGAAAAGTAATGTTTCCTTTGAAATTTTCAGACCTATCAAGTTACATTGAGAATGGAAATCGGCTGCAAATACAAATAAAAACAAATGGATGAATGAAGCTGACTCATTAGGAACTTCCTTGGATAAGAAACATGAATCTATTATCATTGAAACTCTAAACCCTGAAGAATTCAGGAATCCCAAAAGAGTTCAAAATTCTGTCTCCTAGATTATAAAAATGTTTTAATTTTTCAACTCCCTAAACAATATTGCCCCAGGACAAGGACACCATCTTTTCTATCATTGTATCATAAAATATTATTTATCATATCATGGAAAATGGTATGATGAATGTCCTCATCAAACCTTCTAAAATAATCGTTTCAATAAGAAACGGACCGCTCTCCATTCTTTTAGATTTCAAAAGAGCCGAAACAATCCTCGTAGTCATTATTCCCTTTCAATTAATTACTAGCACCGTGAGACTATAAAACTCAATCGAAGCCAATCCTACCTCTTTTGCCACATGACAATCTGATCGTCCTCTATATCACTCATATCAATCTTTGCTTTGAGGTCGTCGATTTTGGGATTTTGCGTAACCAGACGATTGCCCAGATATCCGTAGAAGAAACCTTTCTTATGGTTGTACGGGTCCTCCTCTGTTCCATGGTGTTTATGGTGTAACCTGTGGTCCAATACCCAATCGTATACGGGGCCCTAAATAAAGGACAAATAAAAACCTAATTATATTAAAGTTAAAAAATCATTCGATCTTGATAACATACTGGCATTTCAATAATCTATCTCTTCGCCGACTCAGTGATATGTTCTCTTCTTATTGTTAAACATCAGTAAAGACCTTTGAAACGCCTTCAATTTTGATGAGAGCAAAAAGCATATCATATCCATACAAATAGCATATCATGTAGTCATACAAACAAAGCGACTACTCCTGAAACTATCTTGCTCCAATTTTTGAATTACTAACGGAAGATAAGTAGCTTTCATTGCGATTTTTTTTCGGTGTATTAATTTTGAACTTCTTGGGGGTGCCGTCATTGACCTAATTCCATCACGAATTCGCCAGTCATAAAATTGTGCGTCCATAATTTATAGAATCTCATAGAATGACTGAGAATAACAAGAATCGCCGCAGAGGTAGTATTATAGAATAACTGTCGAGGGTTGCAAGTAGAAAGCGCTCACTGTTAGCTGAGCGCTGGATAAAAGCTTTGGGCGTAAAGTTTGAATACTCACTTGACAGACTAAAGTTTGAAATATGACTAAGGCGAGCCTAAGTGGCCAGACAGCTTCGTAAGTCCTGTGTGCCCAAAGTCTATGGCAGCCAGCTGTGACACTAAATAAACCTAAACTTGTGAGGAAAAAACCTAGAAACAAAAAAATTTACAGAAGATTTTAATGACCAATTATTCAAAAATAACTCTAATTTATAGAGTGAAAAAATAAAGTAATAAGATTATTTAGATAATTTCGCCCCCCCCCCTCCCTCCCCACATAAAGGAAGAAACTTCATATAAATCAGAACATTCAAGTTTGTAGCCTCCACGAGACTCAAAGATACCGTCTTTTTAGGCTTACAATTAATGACGGAGAGCTAAATATTCGGTTTTCAGTTGTCAAATTATAATATGGAAAAATGTGCTCATTCCCAATCTTAGGGGACTTGAATGGAGACGTAGAAATAACTTCAAATTAGTCAGCTTGAAGATTGGCATAAATCGAGGTAAAATTTGAAGGCAACAAGACAACACAAGACATAGAGTTTTGAATAGATTGCAGCATTGAGGATGCTTTCTTGCCTATCTAGAAAATTGAAGGCGAAAAAATAGTACGCCATGCCCCATTCTTGCAAATGCTGGGCCCGAAAATGGTCTCCATAAAGCCGAATCGGCGATTATACCGAAAAAGGTAGAGACTCGATAAATGAGGTTTGGAGGCGGCTAAGACGTGAATATCTTAGTGGAGTGTTTTAAAAAGTATCTCTTCCATTTTCGGTAGAGGTGTCAATTATCATTCGAAAGATGTCTTGGTTCGCTCTGGTGATTGAGAATTGACGAAATTTACCTTTAATTATAAAAAAGGGTACTTATCAATCTTATTTCAAGCATAGACAACCGTATGTGCTATCTTCTGCATGTTTGCGAGGGTGCTTCACCGAAAATAAAGGATGCTGATTTAACATTCTGAATGTAAAAAGTATGCGATAACTCACAAAACGCTGAATTAACCGCCACAGCAGTTACTTTAGCAATGTCAAGATGTAAAACTAACTGCTATGGTGATTAATTCAGCGCTTTGTGAGTTGTCACACACTTTTTTACATCCAGAATGTTAAATCAGCATCCTTTTTTCCGGGTTTTTTTTACATAAAAACAAATATTAAGATTGAATTCATCAAACATGAGTGCCCTACAAGACATCAGGAGGAGATAGTGGTTTTTGGCGGGTTTTGTGGACTTACTGCCGGATTGTCAGAATTTACATCAAATGCTTCAATACTGCACTCTCATTTGAACGTATTTATGCCAAAAGGAACTATGTGCATAGGGTTTGCGTGAAACATAAGTCCTTTTAGCATAAATACGTCCATTTGACTTACAAAGTTATCTACCTATCCGCCCAGTCCGTCAGAGGCGCGTATAGCACGTGTAGCGTCGCAGCGGCTTGCAGGCGCTACCACAGTGTAAAAGACGAGAATGAATGCAAGCTGAACATACTGAAAACTTCTGTCCTTCGCAAATAATTCCAGTTTTGCTTTTTAGCGGAATCGTTCGATTAATGTCAATTAGAGGTGATTAGTACCTTTGAAGAAAACTCGATTTCGAAAATATAGCTGTAGCTATTCTCATTTGACTCTCCTTTATAAGGTTATATGTGAGGGCCCACCCGGTCCGGCTAAGGCATGTGCAGTGCGTGTAGCGTCGCAGCGGCTTGCAGGCGCTATCGCGGTGAAAACGACGAGATTTGATGGGATCTAAACGGACCGAAAACGAGGCGGCCGTTGCGTTGCGGGCGATCCGAAAACGATGTTCTTTCCAATTTCCTTGATGGGGTGGCGGCTCGTGGGTCGTGGGTCGCGCCGAAAGAACGATGGAATAAAAGCTCAAAGACATACACTTGTAGACGTGCAACGCGCGGGGTGCCACGCCGCCGTGCTAAGGAAGAACGCCGTAAAAACATCCGAGAGTTGCCAAATTTCCCTTGATAAAACCGTATTTTTGACAACATTCATGCATACTTTTCCTTAAAAATTTCAGATATATTAGATTAAATTGCGTACAAAACTGTCTGAAAATTTTGGAAAATAATATTCGCAATTTTCCCAGTAAATCCGATTTTTATCGGAAGAAACTTGGCAACTTCTGAAGATTCATACGACGTTTTTCTTTAGCACGGCAGCTCGGGCCGGGTCGGGTGTGCCGCGGCGGTGCCCGTCGAAATCTAATTCGAGCACGCTGTGAATGTCCAAGGACTCGTTAACCGACCGCTGTCCCACCAGCTCCCTTTAATTCAGTCCCTTCCAGGCTCCTTTGGCCACCCGTATACTTGAACACCCCCCCACCCACCACTTTCTCCGACAATGAACCACCCACTATCCGAGGTTGCCAATTCGTCGTATCGTCGTGAGTGGTAGAGCTCCAGGATCGAGCTTTAAAACAGACTATGAATGGAACTTATTACTGCCGTGCTGAGGAAAAACGCCGGGCGCAAATCCAGACGTTGACATATTCCCTCCAATAAAATATTTGTTATCTAGTAGATTTATGAATACTTTAATTTTAAATTTGCAGGTACTCCCAGGGCCGGATCTAGGGGGTGGCCACATGGGCCGTGGCCCATGGCGGCCAATTTTAATTTTTTTTTTTTTTTTTTTTTTTTTTTTTTTTAATGTAGGTATAAAAAAATCGGAGTCAGAAAAAAAATTATGGAAGAGGAAAGGGGAAATTTCTAATTTTGTCGTCTTTCGGTGATGCAGTACCTTTACTAAGTCGAGTTAAGCGCGAAATCAAACATGCAATTTTGCCTGGAACGGTGCGGCGCAGAGAGCAACGATGACGAGGACTTGAGATGAAAAGGAAAAGCCCTCGGCGCAGTGGTCGGCATGTAACACTTATTAGCGCCTACATAACTGCATGAATACTTCACACATTGCGTCAAACATAGTGCGGTCAGCAGCGTTCGACGTGACACGCATAGCGCCTACAAGACTGTAGGAATACTTCACACATTGCGCCAAACACAGTGCGGTCAGCGCGGCGCGGCGACGGCGGACGTTAAGATTATTAAACCACATTTATGTTGGTTCTTTCATGATATTTTCGTTCATTTCTTACAAATGGAAGGCCTTGTCCACACAGAGATATGTTCACGGAACTTAACTTTTGCGCAAAGTTCTAGGATCTTTTGCTAGTAGTGTTGACACGGCTTTCGAAAAAAAGTGTGTCCAATACGAGTAAACGCATCTTGTGCACCACTCCTCCACCGGCACGTTCACTTGATGGTTTTTATTGAATGGTTGTTTCAAAACGAATGAGAATGGGGCGGCAAAATACAGGCGGCCTATGAGCGGCAAGTAGGTGAATCCGGCCCTGGATACTCCATAGATACGAGTAAAATCTTCCGAAAGTTGGGAAGGAAAGCTTTCACAAGTTTTCTCAAAGAATGCGTATTATATCACAGGAAATTTACCAACGTCTGAAAGTGCATACGGCGTTTTACCTTAACTCGGCAGATAAGTCGTGCTGCTACCATAGGAATTTTCCGAATCGACTCGGATAAGTATCAATACTCTGGCTTCAAAAAACAATAAATTAATAGATTGATGACCACTAATCTGAAAAATACTGTCCGAAAGTGACAATGTAAGTCGTCCCTCGTTCCATACTTTTTACTTAAGGCGAACCAACCTGCAGTTTTTCTCTAACGTTTTTATGAAATTCATTCATTTATCATGTAAAATTCACCGGCAATGTAGACGAATTTGATTTGTTTTCTTAGAAACTAGAAATAAGACCCGATCGGAGTTTTAGCATGGAGTTACGCATTTTTAACTTAAGCCATCGATACCTGACCGTCCAAGGGTAAAAAGACCTTATTGCAGAAATAGTTTAAAAGTAAACTATTGGTACCTCTACGTAGAATAGTGTTATAGTTTAACATTTTAACACAAAAACTCCAAAAAATTTGCTCATCGATCTTATAACTTTTTCGAGAATCAAAGTTGCACCACTGTTTTCGTCCGAAGTACTCTTGCGAGCTCACTTCAAGGTCTTAAATTTGAACCACGTAATAACAGTGCAACGCATGATTATGGAAGAACTCACTTTCATATTCAGTCAAATTCTCTGCGTAGATAGGGGCTGAGTACATCAGCAAGGTTGCCACGAATCCGGGCTTTCAATCCCAACCTAAGGCCTCCCCGAAACGTTTCATGGGCTTTGTCTCAGGGAAAAATTACACTTGCGAAGTTGGGAAAAATGTACCAAGCAGAGTCCTTGTTGGGTCCTAAAAGCTACTCAGAGAAAAGGAAAAAAAAGTTGTGTTGCTTTGTTCAACGGGGAAGAAGCCCAGAAGTTTCACTCCTACGATTCGAACTTGGGACAAATCCCACGAAACGTTCCGTGGAGACAAAGCATAACATGCAGAATCCAAGAATGGGATGGCAATACTGCTTACGTGTTCTGCTCCATCTTTGCAAAGAGAATGTGACTGAAGACGTAGGTGGACTCTCCTGTAATCATGTGTTTCACCGACATTAGAGTCTCAATTGAAAGTATTTAAACCAAAAGGAACTATTCCCACTCTGACATGAGCCATGGGATCCACGAGAATACATGCGTGACAGGGCTCATGTCGCAATAGACATGGCTCCTTTTGATTTAAATTCGTCCCATTTTGAGAACTTCTCGTGAGCGTTACACTTGATTATACACGTATAGATAAAACCTGCGGTTCAACGTACTTGTATGGAAATTTCGGGATAAATGAAGGAAGCCCGGATTCAAGATCTTGTGAGAACTCAAGTCAAGTGTGCGGAAGAGTTCACCCTTGTAACTGAGAGGAAAAGTGCAAGAAAGTCCCTGAAGACAAAAGAGTCTCTTCGAGGAAAGTGCTTTTCTAATTTCTTCTACCTTGAAGAATATTTGCTCAGAATTGTATCATTTAAAAATTGAACGAGATCCGTGGATTATTGTGGAATAAAATTGGAACTAACGACGTATCCCTACTCTTGAATGTTCCTCTTATCTCTGAAGTATGATCTTAAAATAGTAGACGAATTACAGACAATTACTCTTGTCGAGTTTTTTTTTTTTTTTTTTTTTTTTTTTTTTTTTTTTGACACAACAACGTTTATGATTCATGGTAGTAAAGACCTAAACCAAAAATTTGGACACTGTTGTCTCAAAGGACAATTTTCGGATTGAAACCCTTCTTGCACCTACTTCCGCAATTAGTACATTTTTTTAGCCTAAAACAGTTCTAAATATGTAAATGAACAAGAATGTGAGCATATACAAGCAAAATATTGATAGGAGTCAAAACCGACGGTGAAACTCCCAGATCACGTATCTCCTTTGCGGTGTCTAAAAATCTCCGCTCCCATTTTATTTTTTTGAGGAAGAACAAATCAATATCATTCGTTGAAGTTTTCACAGAGTGTCCTTCGCACGGGGAAGAAAAATCACGGAAGTTTTCAAGAATTGATGTTGAGTAGTTTTCCGCTTAAAATTAAATTGTGGCAAGAATAATATATGATTGCCGACTTACACCGTTGATATATTTTCCCATCAATTTAAATGAGAATAATCCATGCAGAGTGTGCAAACATTTCAAAATCATAAATTGAGAAACGTTGACTCCGCGAGTTAAAATATTCAAGCCATACATAGAGCGGAGCGGCACGCGCACTGGCTCCTTCAAACCTAACAGGGATACTTCACGCATTGCGCAAAACGTGCGCTGGCGCACACAAACCTAAGTGGATACTTCACGCATTGCGCAATGCGTGAAGTATCCACTTAGGTTTGTAGGCGCCAGTGAGCCTCTCGCGCTGGCAGCACGCCGCTCTGCTCTGTTAGGCTTTAATATTCATACTCGCATAGTCAGCGTTTTTTAACTCATGATTTTGAAATGTTTGCACACTCTGCATTGATTATTCTCATTTAAATTGATGGGGAAAAATATGTATCAATTTATCAAAGAAGAATAATAATATAATGTGTGTGTTTTTAAATATTGGTGGTTCCGTGTCTAATTTAATGATTTCCATAGCACTTTAATTTTTTCTTTTAAATTTTGTGCTTTTATTGTGCTGCAGCGAGGTGTACGCGCAACGAAACGCTCAAAATTTGACGTATTTGATTTCTAAAAGATCTATGTACAAATGGGTTGAAACTAAAGATTGCGTGCTTCTTGGTTTTTCCCCTCTTTTATTCATTTTTGCAGTTTCTGTCGGCACAACTGCGGCTCATTGAGATTAATGTCGCTTGGCAAAGGTTTTAAAAATATTTGTCACGTTTTAAAATTATAAATGTTTTCAAAATGAAGTAATAATTTCGTAAAGTAAAAATTTTAAGAAAATATAAAAAAAGTACCTATACATATGTATCAGGTATATTGTACATCGAAATTTTAAGGATAGAAATAAAACCAAATATTCACCAATGACAATTTAAAAATATGATTCAAAAGGAGAAAGTAATAACATTTCATTTATAGAAAATGAGCAACCATAACAACACCACCTCCTTCTCTCTCTATTTCTCATTTCCATATTGTCAATGTAATTTTACATACCGACTAAAATATAACGCTTGGACCAAGTCACTGTTGCTCATTTTACGTGTGGGCGTAAACTACTGGAAAAAAAAGGTGCGCGGACAAAAAATCGTTGACAAAATGTCCTGAAACCGAAAGTGCTCTTCATGAGATTCTCAAAATTTTTGTGACTAAGCTGTGCGAACTGTAAGTAGAGGTTTACGCCAAAAAGAGCTGTGGAAAAACTTATTAAATTGAAAGGAAATATGGGTATAGGACACCCTTGCTTGATAGTTCGTTTTCATTTAATCCGTTTGCGCCTAGTTCCTCTCAGCATGAATAAGTCCAACTGTCAAGTATGTTTATGACTCAGAGGTATGACAATCTTGCATGTATTCAGTGTTATCGCCGGATAAAAAAGCAAAGGTGGAATCTTCCATAAACTGAAGATTGCGGTATCGTCTTTGAGAGATTTTTATGGGCAAGGGATGATTTTCGACCAAATCCACAATTTTATCATGCGTCTTTTGAATTTCACAATTAAATTGAAGTCTTAATCGTGAGGATTTTAGAAACCTCCATAAAATAACAAAAAATTGTATGATTGTGTTGCATGCGCGTAAATGGACATACCCTTGCCCTACATTATTGCCAACGTGTAAGAATTGTTATTGACTTGAGGCACCATAATCTATTTCAATCACTGTCCAATGGAACAAAAAAAAACCCCTTCTGCACCCCTATATACAGTATCCCTCAAATTTTTAAATTTTACGTGTGAGAATTACGATTTTAAGTATCTTCAGGTAAAACGAATGCACACTGAAATATTGCGTCCAAATAACGGCGCCTTCCCTAATCCTCCCCCCTTCCTTCCCTCATACTGAAGTACATTTGCCGTCGCAGCGATATCAAACATGGTACTTAGTTTTTCCCTTATGAAACCGGCGCACAAAAAAAAAAAGAAGAACAAATTGCTATCAAGATCTCCTCTACGCCATTCTACGCGATTATCCTGAAATAGGTTAAGTTTTAAATATCAAGATGAGTATCAAGATAAGAGGGTTTTATCGTACGCTATGTTTGCAGAAACGCGCTGGTTACCGAGAGAGTGCACTCTGTTGTCAGACTTTCGGCAAATGCTCATAATTCTGCATTGAAAGGGATGTAAAACATGCGAGTTTTATTGGCAAAACGACAACACTAAACGGCGTAACAGCAGCCATGCATGCGACGATCAAGTGACTTGAGCTTGTCTCACTCACACCTATACGCCAGTGTATCGCTGTTTCCTTCGCTCGAATGACGGGGGTAGTAAGGGGAGCATTTTTTTTTTTTTTTTTTTTTTTTTTTTTTTTTTTTTTTTTTTAGATTTAAGGGCTGTGTCAGCGTTGTTCCTCTACGTAGACATTTCGAAACGGAGAATGAGTAAACAAAACGCTGATCGCATTGATAACGGACCCATGATATTCGGTTCGTCGACCCGGTTGGTCGACGAGCAGAGGCGGATCCAGCAATTTGGCAACAATGGATTCCTTCCATTTAAACCCATGTTAAATAATCGATTCTTTTCTGGACACCTGGCCCCTAATTGATTTAATAGAATAAAATCTCTGAATGATCGAGGAGTTTTTGTTATGGAAATTTTTTGCCCGACATAGCAGGTGTGTTGAGGATTTAAATAGCTAGTGAATAAATCAAGAAATACTTACTAAGAAAAGTTGTCTTCCAGTAAGCATGTGTGAAGATTAAAAATACTCCATATATGGCGGACATGTGAAGGTATATATAGAAGAGAACATTTGGCCATTTTGTATCCCTGTGGATTCGCTCTTCCGTTTTTTTGGGCTCGGACTCCATTTCGAGCCTGCAGACAAAATAAATTAAGGAATTCAATCCACTAGTAAAACAAATTAACTTACTGAAAAACTCACGCCAAAGGAGGAAAATACTTTATGTAATCCACGGGGGCAACATTTTCAGCAGGTCGATGTTTCGGCGCTTTTTCAACTCCTCAGGACCGTTTACTTCTAGGGTTACAATTTTCGGATCCATTTTTGTTCGTTCCAAGGTTCCTACTCATACTTCCTCCCATTGCGAGAAAAGCATGCAAATAGACTCGAATGAAACTTTAAAATATTTCTCGTCATGTCTCGGAAAAATCATGGCATATTTTAAAGTGTTCATATTCGTTTACTCGTACAAACTGAGCAGTGAAAAAGTTGCAACAATGCAAATTGAAGTATGAATGTTTTTTTTTGCCTCAGCGGCACCGTCGCGTCGCATCAGTGATGAGAAAATATGTAACTGCGCACGCGCTAGGGTGTAATATGGAGCGGCAATCGTGATTCCCTACCATTTAGTCGATGCCATACTGTAGAAGGCGCTCTGAGCAACTATTCCACCACACAAGTATTGCACAGTATCAGACAAAAATGAAGGCGCACTAACGTTTTTAAATTGACTGTAGTTTACTGTGTAGAGTCCTGCTATCGATCGTACGACATGCGTCTAAAGCCAAATGTTAAAATTGGTGGACAAAGCTATGGACAAAGAAGACAAAAAGGATATGGAGGGATCCTATTAGTGCACGCGGATGGTTTCAATGGACAAAAAACGAGGTGGGTAACAGACTAACTAACGGCATCCCACGGAAGACCCTTCAGTTAGTCCGTCGTATTCTCCTTTAGTCTTTAGGAACCACCCATTTCAACCAGCAGGATTGCTCCATACTCCTTATGTTTTTTTTTTTTTTTTATCTATCGTTTTGTCTGTCAATTTCAACAATCATCCCGCAGTTCGATCGACTATTGTGGTACTAGGAAACAAATGGCAATTTCTGACGGGAATCTTGAATTTCAACTCAAATTTTCAAAATTCGAAAATCCATAATGATGGATGTGGATTAAAAATGATAGCGGTTCCTGGTCGATCGATTTTTGTGAAACTTTGTGTCAGATGGTATTTTTTGACGTAAAAATCTAATTTTCAGTCAAATTTTCAAGAGTCTAAAATTCAAGACGGCGAAAGTGGCCTGGAATGCTATCTTGGTGCCTTCGAAATTATCCGAGTTTGCAGCCAAGTTATCTATCCTTTTTCTGTTCAGTTTCAAAATTTCACGGTTCGTAGAGCTGAACACCAGGCTGGCGTTTAGTTCGATCAACTGGTTCTCTCCACTGAGGGTTCAGTCCTTCGAACCAAAAAGCACCCACCGAACCATTGATTCGCACACCCTTTTTTCTCAGTGTAAAAATAGAATAAAAAATCGATCGAAAGCTCACTTCCTGAGAACGCGTACACGAATGGATTCAAGTGATAGAACAAGGGATTTCCGAGGAGGCTGAGCGAGATTTCCGGGGGAAAGCGGCACGGGAGGGTTCAGGGAACATTCGTAAACGAGGGGCGAGGAAATATGGTTCAAGAGGCCCGTTTTTCTCCGAAATCGCACTCCTCGGGCCAATTCTAATAACTCTGCGTCGCGTTGAAGCTGGAGTTAGGGCGAAATTAAGAGGCTCGCCTTGAATAATTGATCGGGCGCGATTTCCCCGATCGCGGCTGCGGCAATGAGCCTCACATCCGAAAATTAACCTCGCTTTGTCCTGCCCGACCCCCCGCCCTCCATTCCTCGCCTGGGAAAGCCAGACCTACAAATCCGCAATTGATGTCGAGGATATAGCCATCGAGCATAGGTAAATAATACAATCTAGACCGCGCGCGAAGCTTGCCCGATGAGACGATAGGTAGGCAACCAGCATTGCATGCAACATCGGAAAATTCTTAAAATCAGTGTTGATTCCTCGCTAAGCAGGTGCAAGCCGGTGGCGTGGCTTGCGCTTTACGATATATCGATTGATCTGCAATTTAAACCTATGGAAAACGATTGATAAACAGTGTGTTTGGAACGCACACCTTAATAACAGATTCTTTGCCATAGCTTCAAATGGGGAAATATCGATGATCGATCATTCACACCTCGCCATTGGTGCTAGGCATGCATGTGTTACACTCAAATGCTAGAACCTAAGAACATCGCTGTCTGCTTACGCAAATCTCGATTTGGGACATTATGTTAATGCTAAATATTAATTACATCCTATCAGTTAACTTGCGAAATGCTCAGCCGAAATGTACCTCTATTTTTTTGGCCAAAAATTGAAAGTGGAATCAGAATTTTAGTAAATTTGTTTCGATATCTTAATATTTTCTTAATCTTGCCATAGATTGACCTTTTAGTAGTTGGGAAATTTTTCTGACAGCATCATTCAGAGGCAGATCCAGCAACTTGGCAACACCGGATTTTCTCCATTTAAACTTATGTTGAATAGTCTATTCTCGTTGGAGCACCTAGTCCTGGCCCCTCCAAGAATCGATACAATTCCATAGGTTTAAATGGGGGAAAAACGATGTTGCCAATTTGCTGGATCCGCAATGGCATAATTGCAGATCGGTTCACATTACTAAAGGGTTGATGGACGTAGATGAGGAGAAAACGATGGACCCGCCTCACAAGAAACCGTCATTCTTCTGGAGTAAGGGCGGATCTCAATTTTCGCATGAGCCCCAGAAAGCATGGACTTATATGTATAATAGAGTTCTTGTTGGAATTGAGATACGCCCCTACGCTGCCGTGCTAAGGAAAAACGCCGTATGAGCCTTCAGGCGTTGCAAAATTTCCATTTCTAAAACACGAATTTCCTGGTGAACTTATGAATATTTTCCTTCCAATTTTTCAGATAATGTTGCATGCGATTTCACCTAAAGTCCCTGAAAATTTCAAGGAAAAATATTCATAACCTTCCTAAGAAAGGAATATTTTATTGAAGGAATTTTGGCAAATCTTGAATGTTCATACGGCGTTCTTCCTCAGTACGTCACAGGAGCAAGGAATCGTCATTGCTCTTTACTATCAATCCTGGAGTGTCCGAAATTACTTCTCAAACTCACGCGCCTACCTCCGAACCTCGCGAGGGCTGACAAATATCCAAACGGCACGGCCAAAGCTGGCACTCAGGCACGTACATATTTTACAAGTGCGCTTTTACAAGAATTATTCGAGGGGCGCTCTCCGAGATGCTTGCGGTGTTTCGCATTCGGAAAATAGGTCAGTCCTCACAGAGCGGCCTAGATCAGGGGCTTCTAAACTTTTTCTGCCCATGATTTCCACAGAAAGTCAGCAGGATAACTTGTCGATCTCAACGGTCAAATCATATAGCCGGGCTACTCGAAGCTATAAAAAAGTATGCAGTCGGGCTATATAGTTCCTATCGCCGGGCTTTACACTTTATCGCCATCGGCTATGAAAGGCTATAGGAAATTGTGTAGAAATTCGTGTGCTTTTAAAATCATTAAGTTTGATACGGAACTACCTTAATATTTACAAAACACACATTATATTTTCCTTTAAAACATATTTTTTTTCATCAATTTAAATGAGAATAATCCATACAGAGTGTGCAAACATTTCAAAATCATGAGTTGAAAAACGCTGACTCCGCGAGATTAAATATTAGAGCCTAACACAAACGGAGCGGCGACGCACTGGCGCCTACAAACCTAACTGGGATACTTCACGCATTGCGCAAACGCGCATTGACGCCTACAAACCTAACAGGGATACTTCGCGCATTGCGCAAACGCGCATTGACGCCTACAAACCTAACAGAGATACTTCACGCATTGCGCAATGCGTGAAGTATCCCTGCTAGGTTTGTAGGCGCCAATGCGCGTTTCGCACTCTTTGCCCGCCCGCTGCGCCGCAGCGTGCCACGGCGTCTGGAGCAACTATTTCACACCAGAGGTATTGCACAGTATCATAAGAAATTGAAGACGCTCCAACATATTAAGAATGACAGGTATCCTTCAAAAGTACGGAGCTTGCCTCGCAAAATAAATCAAGATACTACGGCACAAAAAGAGAGCGGTAGTCCAAAAACTAACTAAGTCCTATTATCCGTATTTAGTAACGTTTAGCATAAACTTCATCGTCTGGTTGTTGCTTAGTCGCCATCGGCTATGAAAGGCTATAAGAAAACGTATAGCCGGCTACAGAAGCTATTAGAAATCTTACAGCCGGCTTTAGGTCTATAATATTTTGGAACTCACATTCTACTGCCAATTTTTACCAGGGTATTAAAGTGATGCACACAGGATGATGGAAATCCGAAAAATACACTTGAAAGTTAAATAACCAAGAAAAAGACATACACATTTCGTGATTTTTCTTCAAAAGCATCTGATTCAATATGATTTTACTTTAGGTAATGCCTTGAGACAATTACAACTTATAATTTTTTGGTGATTTTTGAGATATGGATTCGTAATTAGAAATTTTAGAAACTCTAAAATTTAGAAACTCCCGATAGGTGACGGTGCGGCGTGTACGCTTTGTGAAAGGTTGGCGACAAGGGGTGGAGGTGGAGATCAGAAGGTGGCAATGGCGATTGGGCGTCGCAGAGCGCGAGGCTGCGCTGTGAGAGCGGCTTAATGTATGTCAAAACTCTAAAATTTCTAAATTTTCGTCTTTAAATTTCATCCCCTCTCTGACTTTTTTTATAATTTCTTTTCCATGCCGCAACCTTTTAGAGATCCTTTATAGACCCACAATAAACTGCTGACAGCAGTTTGAGAACCACTGATCTCTGAGTAAATTGAGGACACCGGCTTAGATCGCGAAGAGCTAGATGCAACGCTTAAGCTTAATATTTCGGAAAGGTGATTTTTCAATCAAATATGTTGTCCTTTTTTATTAAAAAAAATACGGTACCGAACACTCCGCTCTTTCTCTCAAGTACTCTAACATCAGAATTTTGAAGATAAACACTGCTGACTCATTAATGAAACTCTGTAACAGGGGTTTGGATTGGATCC